TAATATAGAAATATATTCATTTTTAATAATATATTTTTAATTAATTATTATATTTAATTTATTAATTATTTATATGACAATTTTATTAATATATTTAAAATATTTATATTTCATATATATACACAGTGGCTTTGTTTTTTCATTTATTTTTTCTTTCGAATATTTTTTCAAAAGAAATTAATACAATATATACATTTTTTTTTTATATTTTTAAAATTTTACATAAAAATAAAAAAATCTTTTCAACAATTTCACAAAACAACCGCATTCTGTATATCTTATCAATGACTTTACAAATTAATTATATATATAATATTAAATGAATTCATTGTAATTAGTTTTAATTAAAAATATACATAGCCCCTAATTACCTATATATTCCATTAATTATTTTTGTTGTTTTTATTAAATTTTGTTAATTTTGTTTGTTTGATTTTTATTTGAAATCACATCTTTTACTATTCAATTCATAAAATTTTCAATAAAAACATTTTACTTTTTTCTTTTTTAAATAAAATATTATATAAATTAAGAAAAAAAAGTCAAATTCAAATACACATTCTATTTTAATTTGGAGTTTTATTTATTTTTGACGAGACGTTTTTTTAAAAAATATATATAATGTATATTTTAAAAATAATATGATTCAAATTAAACAAATATGAACAATCAAATTTTTAGTTTGTTTTTTGTTCAAACCTTTTTAGATATGAAAGAAAATATATATATATATATATATATATATAGGCATACAATTGAATTGAATATTTGTGATAATAACTTTTTTTTTATTAAATTAATAAGGGTGTGACCAATTATTTAAATCTAAAAATTGTACATACTAAAACCAATGAAATAATTAGGAAGGCCAACACCTTTGGCCGCCCGTGGCTACACAACTGACAGTGTCTTTTATATGAGTTTCAAATTCAAATTATTAGTTACGGCTTCTATTAAAAAATATCTTATTTTATTTTATAAAATATTAAAATATAATTTAAATTTAAATTTTCAATCTTAAATCAAAATCAAACAAAAGTCAAATATTTCTATACAAATCTTTCCTTTTTACCTTTTTGAAATATAGGAGTATATAAAATAACTCCAAATAAATACTAATAAACATAAAAAAAAAAAAAAAAACCATCAAAATACTTCTGATGGAGTATTATTTATAAAGATAAAAAAATCTTTAAATAATCATATTTACATTATAAATATTGAAGGTTAAGGTGTGTTCGTTTATAAATCTTTATAAATATTTTTACTCTTCCTCAATTTTTATTTTTTATTTTTTTCAAAACATATTAAATCAAACGTTTATTTTTTATTTTTTATATTATACTAAAAATTAATTACATTAAAAATATCACATTATACAATTACTGGGGTTAAATCTTTTTATTATTTAAATCTTAAACTAAAACCCAAATTCTCAAACAAACACACCTAGAATAATTTCAACCCAAAAAGGGAATATTCAATTCATATATTTATCTCTATATCTCTATGTGGTAGAGAAATATGCACGTCACACTTCGTTTGTTTGGATGTATTGCTTACTATGTTCCAAAAATAATAAAGATAAATAAATAAATATTTAATATAATATTTTAATATATATAGTTTAGTTTAAGATGACAATCGGGGCGAGTACGGATTCAAAATTTTACATTCAGGTAAAATTTCAAATTTTAAACTTAGTCAAATTTGAGGTATGTTACGAGTTTCATACTTATGTTTACTGTTTTGAATTTATTTAAATTAATTATTTTAAAAATTAATATTATATTTCTTTCGCCCACAAACTAATGTCCTACTTTTCAATTTGGGACGTCCAACAACTATTGTTCTATTTCCTTTTTTAAACACACATTTTACATTTTCATCATTCGTTCATTTATTACTTTTAATCTCTATCTTATAATTCAGGGCAAATTTGTCAATTCATAAAATAAAACAATCACCTAAAAAACCGTGCAAATATATTTTAGGACAATAGAAATTAGTCGGAGGGAATATATTTTTATAATTATATGTTTTATATAATTTTTTTATGTTATATTTCTGCCACATTCAATAATTTTCAGGTTTTCAATTTTCCACATTTTTAAGCATGTTGTTTGTATATTCTAACTTACCATTTAACATTTGCGGTCATATTATGTTGTGATCACAATTATTTTGGTAATCGATATTTGAATATATTTTTTTATTGTATTATATTCTATTAGTTCCCACTAAAATAATATTTTTATTATTTTGGTGTATCTCATTCAAATATATTTATTTTTTTATTATAGTAAAAGATAATTATATATTAATATCGAATATTTTTAATTTTATATAAAATTACAACCATACTATTATACATATAATACATAAAGTATAAAATATAAAAATATTAAAATCATCTACATTCTTCCACTAACCAATAAAATGCCAATATTTTTTATTTAGACTTACATATAGTTATATAAATCAAATATAAGTCGGGTCTTGAGTCTACTCGAATGTAACCTCGGCAAAACATGTGTCGAACATACCCTATTGGCACACCATGTGTATTTAAAACATTAATTTAGAAAATTTATTCAAAATGTAAATATATGGGCCAAATAATTAATAAATTATTGAAGTAGCCATTAATTATATAAATGGAGGATGGTGGCAGTGGGGGTGTCCTATAATTACCGTATGTCTATAGTTAGAGCGTAGTTGTTTAAGATTTTAGTTTTGAGTTTGCTAATTTTTTTTTTTTTAAAAGAAAATATCAATCAAATATTTATTTATTTCAATAATCACTATTATTATTATTATTATTATTATTATAGTTTCGTAACTAATGCAGTTTTGAAATAAAAAAGTTATATTAATTTAAAAAATTAAAATTAAAAGATAGTAATAAAAATGTATATATTTATTTTTCTTAACTACATCAATTAAAAAAATATATATATTTTCATGTGTTCGTCAGGTAATACTTACTTGGCGGACATGTGAACTCCGGCGTGTCAGGCAGATATTTCTGTCGTTAAAGGACCAAATGCGTAAAAAGATTTCACTTATTAAGGAACTATTATAAGATAGCCTCAGCAGCTATGAGACTAAAATAATAAGACAACAATTACAATAGAAAAAAATTAATTTACCTTTATAAATATTAATATTATATACCTAGATAATTATTTATATTATTTAAATTTATCATTCTTTACTTTTACCATCTTCGAAATTTTTTTATTTTAATTTTAATTTTTTTTATAATTTGCAACTATGCTTATTATTCTTTCAAGTTACCACTCTTCCACTGCTTAATAGTAATAGTTATAGTTATACTGATAATACTGCAATTAAAAGAATATTATTTATTATGTGATTGAGATTTTTTATATTTAAAATATTTTAATATTTAATATCTGAAAATTTTTATATATTATATTATATTACCTGTAAAATAAATAAAAATATTTATATGTACATGTATTTTGTAAAAATAGGGCGGATTTTTTTAATTAGCGCCCGTGTTCAAGGCGATGCAAGGCTTAGGTAGGTTGTGTTCGTGCTTATAATCGGTCTGTTCACTCAATATTTTTTAATGGAAATTTTTTCCTATAAATATTATTAAAAAAATACAAATACGTACGCATTAATATAATATTTATAATCCATTTAAAAAAAAATTAACTATTCAACCAAAAATATTATTTTTTTATACTACTAACATAATTATCATACCATACATAAAAAATCAATTTATTTAAAAACATTGAATAAACATCCTGAATATTTTGGCAAAACAGATTATGGATCTTTGTTGCCATTCCTCCTATAAACAATGTTTTAATATTATACTTCCTCCGTCCCATAAAATATGGGACTATAATATATGAGACTATCACTGTAGATACGAAAATGTAGGTAAAATATAATTAGTAAGTAATTAAGAAATATATTAGTAAAAATAATTACTATTTAGTAAAAATAATTATAGATTAAGATAAAGATAAATAAATAGTTTAATTAAAATTAAGAAAATTATAAAATTTAAAATTTAAAATGCGATTAAAATACATAATTATATTTCCAAAAATAGAAAGGACAAGTTATATGGGACGGACGAAAATTGAAAATAGGAATAAATTATATGGGATGGAGAGAGTAGATTAATTATATTAAAAAAAACTAAAAGAAAACATATTTCTTTCTTCTTATACAAATTATATCAAACATTCAACTTTTTTTTTATTATTTTCAAAATTTTATAACTCTAAAAGCTTTTATATAAATAGAGTCCTCGTAATTAAAATAATTATTTGATAAAATATAAATAGATATTGATACGATAATTTTAAATATAAAATTAATTTATTGTATAACGCAAAATTAAATAAATATTTATAAAAAACTTATGAATCATGGGAGTTAATTTGGGTGGAATTCCACAAACATTAATATTTTATTTACCTACACACTTACATAAAATTTGGTAATGTTTTATTACCAATAATTTTTTATTACTCATTACATCCAATATACAATATTCACTTTTCTTTCCTTTTCACATCTCATGTGACTTTTATTTTTTGAAAAATGATTACATATTTTAATTTTATTTTAAATTTTTATTTAATTTCATTAATTAGTTATTTCAAAATTAATTTATAATTATATATATTCACTAATATTAATTATATATTAGTTATTTTTATGGATGGAGGTAGTGTTATTTTTTTATTTTTCAAAAACCAAAAAATAAAATAAAACAATAACATCAAGTATGTACTTCCAAAAATTATTGTGAAGTTGTAAAACTCTTGGAGGAGCTTTTCAGATGACGTCTATTACCATACGTACGTGCTGCAATAATATATTATAAATAATTTAAATAACTTAAATTAATTAATTAATAAATATAGAGTACCCACCCAACATCGTCGTCGTCATCATAAGCAGCTTTATCTAATTCATAATAAAAATAAAAGAATAACAATGAAGACATGGAGCAGAAAGGCATGAAGAATAAGAAGATGATGATGATGAATGGAGGAGTGAGAAAAGGTGCCTGGACTAAGGAAGAAGACGACCTTCTCAAAAACTGCATTCGCAACTATGGTGAAGGCAAATGGCACCAAGTCCCTTTCAGAGCTGGTTCGATTCGATTCAATTCCCCTCTCTCTCTCTCTCTATATATATATATATATATCTACATACATATATATTGCTAATTTGATTTAGGGTTGAACAGATGTCAATTAATTAGGTTTTGAATTTGATTTTAGGGTTGAACAGATGTCGGAAGAGTTGCAGGCTTCGATGGCTGAATTATCTTCGACCTAACATCAAAAGAGGGTTTTTTACCAATGATGAAGTCGATCTCATTGTAAGGCTTCATAAGCTGCTCGGCAACAGGTATGTACGTCCCTAATACTTAAAAATATATATATATATATATATTAGTAACGAAATTTCGTCCATAATGTTCAAGTAGTTAACAAAATTCTCTCTCTAATTTTATCTTTAATATCATTAGTAACTAAAAAAAATGAATTTAAGAATATAAAAATCTTGTTACAAAATTGATATTTTCTTTTTATATATATATATATATATGACTTTGATGAAGATGATGATTGAATTAAAGGGGGAAAAGAACTACTTGTTTAAAGCCCTCACGTGTATGCTTGCTTTTGTCTTTTTAAATTTTTTTTTTGTCTTATTGTTTACCTTATGTAATTGTAATTTGTAACTATGATCAAAGGCTTTTTATTCTTTTTAGTTTTCTAAATATTTAATTTTAGAACATCATAATTTATATTTTAAATATCAAATCTAATTATCATTTCATTGGATAATATATATATATATATATATATATATATACAACGAAACTAGAAAATAAAAAATTTGGAATGTTCTAGGTTATTTTTTAGTAAAAAAAAAAAAAGAATTAATTGTAGTGTATTTAAGGGTTTTTTAATTGTGTTTTTCTATATATATATATAATATGGTTTTTAGAGTAAATAATTTTTTTATAGTATTAGTAAAATTAATGACTAGTTTCTAGCATGAAATATTAAATTAAATATTAAATATTTATTATTTCAAATAAATTTCATAACTCCTCTAATACATATTTAAGCAGAACTATAATACATATTTAATCTTTATATTGTACTTCATAATTTAAGTACATAAAAGTAGAACGAATAGATCATAGTTTGTAGGATTTTAATTATTAGTACATGTATTTAATTTTATTAATCCTATACATTAGTGAATTAAAAAATTATACAATAATTATGGTCATTTATAAAATATAATTAAAAAAAAATCATATCAAATTTAGTATTAAAGAAAAAGTAAAAGTAAAAGTAAAATCTAAAAAAAATTACCAAGTAAACACAATTATGAGTTTAAATTTTTGTTGGATTTTTGCGGAAAAAAATAGTTAATGTTTTAATATATTTTTATTGAGAACAATTCAAATTTTATATGCAAAATAAAGTAACGAAAAACTTAAAAAATAGTATAATGAATCTTTTTATACATTCTTTTCTATATATATATATTTTACTTTAAAAAAATTAAAAAATATATATATAACATATTAAAATTCGTATAAAAGCAAATAAACCTTTTCATGGAAGTTGTTTTTGAGAAATTTTTTAAATAATAAAATTAAAAATTAAAAATATAAGTCATTGGAGTCACATGATTGGGTAACAGTAATTGATTTATGGTGTCAATGTCAAGAAAATTTAGGTCAATTTACATGTGTTAGGACTCAATTTTCAATTTTTGTACCGTTACTTATCACAAAATTTTCAATAAATCATATTCTTCTTTGTGCAGCTAATTTGTCAAATTTAGCTTAATTACGAAGTTTTAAATATTGTATAATTAGTAAATAATTAATAAATATATTAGTGAAAATATTTGTGATTTAATAAAATAATAGATTAGAATAATTAAATAGTTTAATTAAAATAAAAAATTATAAATTATAAATTTTAAAATATGATTAAAATATATAATTACATTTTCAAAAATAAAAAGACAAATAATGTAGAATGAATGAATATAAAAAAGAAACAGATAAATTAAGTGAGATAGATAAAAATATTAAATAAAGTATTCGAATGAAGTAAGAATAAAATTGGTGGATGAAATATTTTATTTAACATACTTTGGTGAGAATTTGGTACAAATGAAGTGGGAATATTCTTTGATTAGGCGACATCAATTTTGAATTTGGACACCATTTAATTTTCAAATATTATATTAATTATTAATTAATTAATTTTTTTATTTTTTTTAAATTTTCAAAACTCTACCATCTTAGATTTCTATTAGATATAGGGTTTTGGAATATAAAATTTTAAAAATGATATGACATTTATTTTAAAAAAAATAACATATTTTTGATATAATATTTTTAAAAATATTTCATTAAATGAATAGTGCTAAAGAAATCTAAAATTATCTTGATAAACATAACTTTATCTTTTATTTAAAATATTTTTTTGAAATTTTAAAGGGTTTGGTTGGCTTTGGTTTCAAATTAAGAATTGATTTCAACTTTGATTTAAATAGGAATTTTATTTGTTTTTGTTTTTTTTTTTAATATGAAATAATAAATTTTTATTAGAAGTAATATGGGCTAAATAGTACTCACTCCGTTTTAAATATAGTGTAATATTTTACTTCGGTATAATTTAAGTGAATAATATTAAATAGGATAATTTAATAATTAGGTGATATATGAGAGACAAGTATGTATATTTATATTTTAAAAATATTGCAAAGTGTTTGAGATAAATAAAAAAAAATTGTAAGATATTTGGGACAAAAGGAGTAGCTAATTTGGTTTCAAATAAAACCAAACACAACCTTGTTTGTTTAGAATTTTTTACTATTCAACTTACTTTTTTTTCCTAAAAATATTAAATTAAATAAATAATTTTATTTTTTATATTATATTAAAATTTTCAAATCAAATGCATATTTATATTAGCCAATGATAACAGTCAATGTCAAAATTTAAAAAAAATATGTATATAAATAGACTCATAATTTCTATACAAAATATTATACATAATACCTATATTTTTATTAAAATATATTACTAAATTTATTAAATTTAAAATATATTTAATTTTAATAAATGTGTAGCACAATTCAAAATTTCTCGGGCCTATTTCTTTTTATGCCTAATAACAATTTTATTTTTTTCTTTTTGGGGATTCGATTAAATTTTCGGATTATACTTATTTTTTCTTTTTTGATTCTAATTTTTCTGATTATTATTTTTCTCAATAAACTCCATATCTATACAAACACACTTTGTAGTTGGGAACGAAGGTGATGAATTTACAACGCGCAGGTGGTCGCTGATCGCCGGTAGACTCCCCGGCCGGACGGCCAACGACGTGAAGAACTTCTGGAACACTCACGTCGAGAAGAAGTCCGTCCATGGCGGATGCAGATCACGGCAAACAAAGACACCCACCCCCACTACCATCGCCCGCCCTCGCCCTCGGACCTTCCCCAGAATGCCGGCGCCGCCGCCGGAAAAAGGATGTCCGCGGAGGGGCGAGGAAGGTGGGAGGCCGCCTGGGAATTGGAAGAAGCCCGGACCGCTGTCACGTGACCTGCACGAGCCGATGTCGCCCGTCCCGACGACCGACGGCGATGTGGGCGCCGGCGCCGGCGAAGATGGTGACCGGATCCGGTGGTGGAGCAGCTTGCTGGAAATGGATGAGATTGGGGAGTTGGGAAGCGGTGTGTTGACGCTGTCGGACGGCGGCGGAGTGGATATTCCGGACGGCGGGGAAATGGAGGTTCCGACGGCGTCGCCGGAGATGTTGGGTGTTGCTGAAGATGATGAGACTGGATCATTCATCGGCGATCTGTCCATTGATGATGTTGACTTTTGGGATCTGTAGGGTTCTTCGTATGTATCTTTGTATTCCATACGTAGTTTATTACTATTTTTATATTCTTAAAATTTATTTTTTACTGTATCAAAACTTTCAATTTTATAAAAATATATCTAAATAATCATTTTTTATCTGATAAATTATACTTGCTCCATCATAATTCAAAAGTATTATTTCTATGGTTTTCGTCTGTCTCATAAGTATTAATTTTCTATTTTGGAAAAATTAATTCTACACTAATCCAGTAACAGATAGTCCGGTGGTATGGAAGTTCGACTTGTAATCATGACGTCATGGATTCAAACCCGACGCTTCAGATCACCTTCCATACATGGTTCGCCTAGTACGACTTGCTTTGTGGGACGCCTAATTTACAGTGAAAAAAAAAAGTAATTTTACACTAATACCAAAATATCTTTACTTTTTATTTGAATTACATACAATTACTTCATACAAAAGTGTAACAAAACTGTTAAAATCTTTGAGTACTTTCACTGACTAATCAAATATCAGGACGCTCTGAAAGAGACGGAGTGAGTATTCATATCTATTTATATTCATTTCTTAAATCAAATGTCCGGTCATTTGCATTGGAAAATAAATTTTAATTAATATAATATTCTTTTAGTTGCTTATAAAATAAAATAAAAATATTTTAAAAACTATATGAGTAAATTAATGAAATGAAAAAAAATTAATAAATTAAATGTTTAAACATTTGTGATATTTTTTAAATAAATAGAATATTGATGGTATAAGCTAGAGAGTGTACAATGAAAAAATATATAGTTATTTTATATTTAAATTTTATTATTTTTAAGTCAATTAAATGTTACAAACTTTTTTCAAAGAAATATCAAAATGAAACATGAAAAGTACAAGCATACAATATTTTTATTTTTTAATTTTTAAAATCATAATCACCACATCCCTTTGTTTGGATATGTTTTGTTGTTTTTAATCATAGTTTAATATCATGTCAAATAAATATTTGATATAATATTTAAATAGGTATTATTTTTTATTTTTTTATTTTTTGTCTTTTTGTTTTTATGTAGTATATTAAATGAAGGAAAATTGGTGGGTGATGGTGTTGGATCAATTTTGACATTTTGTGCTTTTGTGCGTGTTGTCACATTTTGAATTAATGGCTACGCTTATTGTACTGATTGAGTCAAATTAGTATAGTGCTGATTTGATTAAATGATCAAATATATGTCAATAAGATAATAAATATTGATATAATAGATAACATATATTTAAATAACATATTATATAATTATATATGTAAAATATATTATGATTTCAGCAAAATAATAATTTAACCTAATAAGCAAATGTCGATAAAGAAAGTAATAAATATTAATATAACATACAACACATTATATAACACAACATATGTTATCTTCATTATGACAATACGCTAATTATTTAAAATTAATATGCTAACTTTACAATATACTATCTGTATATGAAGATTTGTTAATTATACTCTCTCCGTCCCAAAAGTATAGTCTTATTGTATTGGACACGAGATTTAAAAAATATTAATATTATATTGGTAGTTGATAAAACGTAAAGATAAATGGCTTTTGTCCTTGTGAGTATATTATTGTAAAAAGTAGTGACAATTGTGTAATAATAATGAAAAAGCAAGGATAATTTTACGGTGATATGGTTATTTATGGAAATAAGACTATTGTTTTGGGACGAACAAAAATGGTAAATAAGACCATTGTATTGGGACGGAAGAAATATTAAATTAGTTTATTGATTTGGTCAAATTAGTATCGTACTGATTTTGACTAAATTAGCACTCTAATCACCATCTAATAGCTAAATTGCCACCACATGATATATAACGACTATGAATTTGTGTCCTAGGATCTAACTCGGCGCATTCTTTCTTATTCACATTAGAGCAAATACAATGAGTATTTTTTAGAGAGTAATCCATGTATTTTATCAGAGATTTTTACTAAGTCTTGAAAATTTGGTATACAATAGAGATTCTTTCGAGGTAGTTGGTACAAACAATCAATAATGTAAATATTTAACCTTAAATTTGAATTTAAATAATATTTTTATGTGATATTTTGTAAATAAAAATAGTATATTTTTATTTTAAATTGTCTCAGTTGAACAATAGTCATTTGTATTATACACAGACACTTTGCTATTTAATTTTTTAGCAAAATATTTGTTAAATATACTATTCTTAATTTACTATCAAATTGTAAATGGATATTTTCATCTGGGATGAAAGAAATATATTGATTGTAAGCAATTTAAAATAATAAAATAAAAAATTATCAATGGTAAAGTATAGAGGAATTTTCTTAGAAAGTACATGAAGAATATAAAGAAGAGGTAAATCTAAATGTTAACATAACACAAATATTTCATTTTATAAAAATATAGAAAAAATTGCAAAAAATACTTTATATGTAGGTTAAATTATTATTTTTGAACATTTTTTTTTTCACTTTTACAATTTAAAATATTATGTGTACTTTAAACATTATTTTTGCCCCCGACACCGGAAAAACATACGTGATCGTTACGTGTGCCTTCGTGGCCTGACCGGCGCATACGTGGACATTGTTGTGGCTTTGTGGTCGTCTGCGTGGTAGTAGGACATGTGACGTGAATTTATTTTTATTTTTTTACTTTCCTAGTTTAGGACATTATTTGTACTTCAAGTATTATTTTTGGCCTCTGGTTCCGAAAAAGTAATTTGTTTTAGGGTCTTTATTTGCAATTTGATCTAATTAGACTAAATAGAAATAAAAAAAACTTAGAACAAATTATTTTTCCAACACTAGAAGATATAATATCCATATTTTTTTCAATTTTCTCAAAAATATGAAATGAACAAATCTCAGATAAACCTACAATACTTCTAATGGGCCCACCCATATATACAATAATTTTTAAAAGTCCAATTTTGATCCGTTCCCAAATTTGAAAGATAGGCCCAAAATATTAAAAGGCCCAATAATTAGAAGCCCAATATTGGCCGCCATTGGTGAATTTTCCACTATAAATACATGAAGGGTGTCTTTGTTTTGGAATTGAATTTTAAATTGGGATTTGAATAGTTGTATGACTCGATATAAAACGGATGTTGATGTAATATTTTGAATGTAAAATTAATTTTTAGTATAATATAAAAAAATAAAAAATAAGTGTTTGATTTGATGAGTTTAGGGGAAAAAATAGAATGAATAGAGTATATTAAATCCAATCTTTCAAACAAACACAAAGAAGAACCCAACTTTCTTCGCCATTGCAAATGGGCTAATGGCAACAATCGTTCCTTCCCGCTAAATCCCCCGTCGATTCGATTCAAGCGCAATTTTCAATTCTTATTCCAAATCGATTGATTTCGCCGAAGAAACGCAACCACGGCTCTACCTGAATCCCTCGCTCCCCTCCGAATCGTCCGTGTGAATCACAGTGGTTTGAGTTGCGGCCTTAAGGTGGACGACAAGCACCGGATTCCATCACCGCACGGCGGTCGGGGTGCCTCACCGTCTGACGGTGGCTGCCCCTCCGATCTCCTGTTCCTCGCTGGCGGCGGATTTTTCGCCTCTTTGTTTAATTTTAATTGTTTCTTCGTTTGTGAATAATTTTTGAATTTTCTTCGTACGCATTGAATTTGATTTGTCGAAAAGATACGTAGTTAGATAGGTTACACGAATTTTGGGGTAGATGGAGAGGACATTGACGATAAAGAGGGTTCCGACGGTTGTTTCCAATTACCAGGAGAGCAATGCTTCTTCGGAAGACCTGAAAACTAGGGCTCAGGACTGCGGGCGCCATTGCCTCGGAAACTGCTGCTTGCCAGGTATTTCTCGTAACATTGTAGCTTCATTCTATATCCTGCTGTTGTTTGATTGCAATTTATGATTCTTAGAGTATGTAATTTTGCGTTAGATTGTCTTCAATGACTTTGTGTATTGGATTTTTGGGGTTTTTTTTGTGGAATCATTGTTCTAAGTTGATCTTCATATTGTATTGAATTATTTAGGATTGTAAATTTCATTGATTGTTTATCTGGAAATTCACTCCTCACCTGAAACCGTAATTTTGACATATTATATCATTGCTTGGTTTTGGATGATTAGCTTACAGCTGAATAGTTTTGATTTGTTCATCATTTTCAGTATCTACTCTGCCTCTCTATGCTTTCGGGACTGCCGACTCCGACAATCTCGGATGTTTTAATGGAGAGCGTTCTTTGGTATCCTCTTTGAGCAATTTGTTGTTAGGAGAGTGGGAGGACCGAATGCGTAGGGAACTATTTAGGTACGACATAGCCTCGTGCGAGACAAAGATCATCTCAGGGGAATATGGTTTCGTTACGCAGCTGAACGAGGGTCGACACCTCAAGAAACGCCCCACAGAATTTCGCGTCGACAAGGTTCTTCAACCCTTCGACAACAACAAGTTCAACTTCACTAAAGTGGGTCAAGAGGAAGTCCTTTTCAGGTTTGAGCCGAGCCAAGATGGTGAATCGCATTACTTTCCGAGCTCCCCTGTTCATGCTGAGAATTCCTCGCCTTCCGTCGTTGCAATCAATGTAGGCCTCTTCGATTTATACTTTTCGAGTTAATTGATGATTTTGAATTTCTTTATCTCACCGATTGCTTGTTTTTTGTGTCGCCAGGTGAGTCCCATCGACTACGGACATGTCCTGCTTATTCCCCATGTCTCCGATTGCTTACCTCAAGAAATAAATCACGACGGCCTCCTCCTCGCTCTACGTTTCGCTAAAGAAGCATCGGATCCGTATTTTAGAGTCGGTTATAACAGTTTGGGCGCGTTCGCCACCATCAATCACCTCCATTTTCAGGTAGCAACGAGCGCATTATAAATGTCAGTTTGTTGTTTATACTATGTGACATTTGTAACTCGATTTTCTTTCGTATCTAGGCATACTACTTGGCTGTCTGTTTTCCAGTTGAAAAATCTCCGACCCACAGAACGATGAGCAGCTCGGGACCGTACGAAACGAGAGTGATTGTCTCTGATCTACAGAATTACCCCGTGCGCGGTCTTGTCTTCGAAGGTGGACGCAATTTGCGAGACTTGTCGGACACCGTCGCAAGTTCTTGCATTGCTCTCCAAACCAAGAACATTGCTTTCAATCTTTTAATTTCCGACTGCGGCCGGAGAGTCTTTCTGCTGCCTCAGGTACTGACAATCCCGTCGAACAGACAAGTTTGAATCCATGAATCGTTGCTTGAAGCGTTTGTATTAATATTTCCTCATTAAACTTTTTGCAGTGTTACGCGGAGAAACAGGCGCGCGGAGAAGTGGAGCCGGAGCTTCTGGAGACTCAGGTGAATCCAGCGGTGTGGGAGATCAGCGGCCACATGGTTCTTAAGCGGCGGAAGGATTTTGATGAGGCGACGGAGCAGAGTGCGCGGCGACTCCTGGCTGAGGTTTCTCTGTCAGAGGAGAAGTTCCGGCGAGTGAAGGCGTATGTTATTGAGGCGGCGAATTTGCTGCCGGAGGAGGATTCCGGCGCCGTCGTCGAGGCAGAGTGCGATGTGGATTCCTCCTGCCTCGATGTTGCCTCGCAGCATCTCCCTCAAGATTGCCTCGTGCTGCTCTGATGAATGTTTTTTCGCTTTCTCGTGTCTTCATACAATTTTTAAATTTTTTTTTTTTTTTCGTATTTAATCGATATTTAACACAAGTTATATTTTTGTGTTCGACGATTGCAGCTTATTGACCAGCTACCAGCAGCTACAGGACGAGAGTTATATTTTTCATTAATTCCATAGCAAATACTTGATTATTGCTTGGATTTGATTTGAGTGCCTGATGGGTTTTAGCATAGATTTAGATTATTTTTTTTTTTAAAACAATATTAAATCAAATAATTACTATTATTTTTTTATATTATAATAAAAATTTATTTTATATATTACCAAACAACTATTAAATTCAAATTTTTTACTATTAAAAAAATCTAAATAAAAAAACTAAAACCCACAAACAATATACACCCTAATAGTTTCAAAATTATAAGTAACACATAAAATCCAACTTTATACATTACATCAAACCTTTATTACAATACTATTCCAAAACATAGAACCATACAAACCCCGAAACATCCAACTAAAAAAAAAGTCCCATATGCTTGCATATATACATTATTATTATTATTGTTATTATTATTAATCACGAACCCATCATAACCTTAAACTCCTCGAAATCCACAAATCCGTCGCCGTCGATGTCGTAGGAGGCGATCATTTTCCGGCAGTCCTGGAGCGTGCACTTCTGCCCCAGACTCCGGAGCACCGACTGCAACTCGACGTCGGAGATCTTTCCGTTCCCGTCCTTATCGTACATATCGAACGCCGCCTTCAGCATCCTGTCGCCGCCGCCGCTGCCGCTGGCGCCGCCGAGATGGAACGCCTTGAATTCCTCGAAGTCTATAAAACCGTCGCCGTCGGTGTCCAATTCCGGCATTATCCGAGACAGCATCTCGTCGGAGGTCCTGGACCCCAGATTGTTCAGCACGGCGCCGAGCTCCGACATCGAGATTCTTCCGTCGCCGTCGCCGTCAAACATGTCGAAGATTCGCTTCACTTCCTCCTCTACGGTTAACGGAACCGCCGCCTTTGACTTCCGGCTCATTTTATGAAGGAAAAATAGGGAACCGTACCAGCGGTAATTGTAGAGAACTTTAACACGCACAAACATATATATATATATATAATGTTGTAAATAAGTTTCCATTTTAATTAAGGTTCGCCGTAATTGGACGCCCCGTTAAATTATGGAATGCGAAATTATTGTGACAGTAATATGATTCTCGTTACTAAATCATAATTATATGTATAATTCAAAATTAACTTTGGCATTGAATTAAATTTACCACATACGATGTTTGGATAGGGTTTTGGATTTTTTATTATTATCATTTTATATCTTCCATATTTATTCATTTACTATATTTTTCAAACAATTATCTATCAATATATATTTTCTTAAAAAGATTGGATCAATTCGATTTCTTTTTCTTTTTTAATCATGGATATTATATAAAAGTATATTATTTAATTCCACAAAATAAATTATTGTTAAAACCAAAATACAAAATCAATTTGAATAACTTTCAATATACATTAAAATTAATGTTTGGTAAAGAATGAGCCGGCTTTGGGTGAACTTATGATCATAAAATTATGAGTTCAAACTCCCGATGTCTCTAGGTCTTGCCTACAACTGCAAGATAAAACGTTGACACAATTATATAAATACGTAATTTTGTATTTTAAAAATATAAGTTATATTTTTATTGAAGTAGAATATTATTTTTTAATGTAATCTCACTTCTTTAGTTTGTGCAGATTGTTATTATTTAATAATGTACTAATATATTTTCTATTTTCAAATGGACTACTGTAGTTTAGAATATATTCCCCCCGTCCCAAACAAGGTGTAATATTTGTTTTGGACACGGATTTTTAGGTGGGTAGTATTAAATAGGATAATTTAGAAATTAGGTGATGTGATTGAGAGAGAAATATATTTTTTATTTTTTTCATTTGGGTGATGGAATGAGATAAAATGTGGTGTAGAGATTAAAGGCGTGTTTGGCAATTAGCTTATAGCTGTTAGCTGATTCAATTAGCTGATCCAATTAGCTGGTTTGACTAGCTGATTCGATTAGCTGTTTGTATTAAAATGTTTGGTAAAACAACTGTTTGATATTAGCTGTTTATACGTAAAATGACAATTGAGGACATTTTTATTTTATTTTATTTTTATTTCTAATATATTCAATTATGTTCTTTTGAGTTTAGGATGTTTAAAATTTTTTGTTATTAGTTATTGAAAATTATAAAATTGTTATAAAAATATTTATTTTTATTACAGTTAGATTTAAAAAATAATAGTATATTTTTATTAAAATATATAAATAATTTTTTCTATTGAAAATGATGTGAAATATAAAATAATAAATTTTTCGTGTATATATTTATTATGTTAGTTATCGATTAGTTAATTATATTTATAATTTTCAATAAATTTAATTTATTTAATTTATCTTTAGTATAAAATTTATATAATATAATTTTAATATAAAAATAAATTATTAATATTTATACTTTCTATTTTATGTTGATTTTAATAAATTTATATATTTACAATTAAAATAATTTTTAAATTAAAATTAATTATTTTAAATTTATAAAAGTAAAACTATAATATAAAAAAAAATATAATTAATAAATAATCAAAATATATTTATTTGTGTAAAATGCATAATAAATTTTTAAGGGCATATAAAGAATAAAAAAAATTTACGGAAAAAGCTATTTCAATACGCTGGCTAAGTTAGTTTTTCAGAAATTAGCTTGCTATTCCAAAAAGCTGATTTACCAAACACCTAAATTAGTTTTTTGACTGGTCAAACAGCTAAAAGCTGTTCAATAAGCTAAAAGCTATTTAAAAAATTATTTGCCAAACACCCCCTAAATATAATTAATTATTTTCTATTTTGAAAATATTGCAGGGTATTTGGAACATACCAAAAAAAAAATATATTACGTGTTTGGGATGGAGGGAGTACTAACATTTGAAGTATGTTGTGGAGTTAGTATTTGAAGAAAAACCTAGAACTACTTTTTGATAGTAATTTGTGCAATTTTATAAAATTTTAAAACTGTTTGAGTAATATATTTTGCAAAATTTAACAAAAAAAAAAGAAGATACACATGTTTTAATGATGTTGTGTGCCAAATGATTTTGCTGAACTCATTAATTATACTATTTGAACAACATGTTAGTAGTGATAAGTGTCGAATTTACGTTAGATTTTAATTGATCTTGAGAGTCCAGATATTGATATTTAATGAATTATTATTATTATTATATGAAAAAAATGTTTTAGTGTTATTTGGTGTCGACAAGTTGAATATATCGAAAGTTTAAATCCATGAACTCTTGATCACAAGTTCACATCTACACCACCATCAGACCATTTTTTACGGGATGATATTTTTTTTGATTTTCACCCAAATATTATTTAAATCCATGTTTTTTGGAAAATTTTTTTTTTTTCTCACAAAAAATTTCAGTATACATTATTTTAATATCAAATATAAATCAATTTTTTTTTTTTTCAGACCAATAAAAAAACATACTCTTAATTTCAACTTAAATGGGTAATGTACAGCACATAATCGGTACAATAAGACTGCAATTTATGGTGAAAGAATGTTATAAAAAATATATATTATACTTTATACTATAGAAGAAAAAAAAATAATTATTACTTATTTTTATTAAAACTTCGATCAAATAAATACATATTTGTACAATGCAATGAGTATTTAAATAAAACAAAATAAATCAAATAACGTAAACAAAAAAAACACATTGTATCAAACAGGCCTTGTATGGTCGTTGGGCTGTCCGTCCAACTCAGTCCATAGGCGCCACTACCACAAAACGACAAAACACTTCTCCTTCCTTCGTTCCTTCCCTACGGTCCTCTTCAGCTTTCGAAAGAAGCAGAGCAGAGCAGAGCAGAGCAGTACAGTGCAGCTACAGTCTGTAATAGTTAACATAACCCCCAATATAATTACTATTGTATACAGGGACGACGGGCTTTGTAATCGCCGCCGATCGATGAATCCAATCCTCTTTTCCCCCCTTTCGATTTCATCACCTATACTTCATTAATTAATTAATTGCATTCGATTTCCTTCCCTGGAGGAATCAATCCTATTTCCATTTTCTCAGATTAACCTCCTAAAATGGCTCTTCATCTCGCCGCCGTCGTCAACCTCCACTCCGCACCTTCGCCAATTTTCCGGAAATGCAGCTCCAAAGTGCCGCCCTCGCCCTTTTCTTCAACTTCGTCTCCGAAATTCCGAATTCAAGGTAACAAATCCCCTCTATCATCTGCTATTTAGCATAATTTTGTACTCAATTCTACTGTAATTGCCATGGACGCGAAGTTTAGGGTTAGGGCTAGGGTTACAAATTAGATGAACAGTTCGAATTGATAATTTGCAGCTAACGCATTAAAAATTGGCGACGGGCCTCGGGATAACGACGAATCTCCACTCGTGGTTTGCTTTGGGGAAATGCTGATCGATTTCGTGCCGACGACGAGCGGACTCTCGTTGGCCGAATCGCCGGCGTTTAAGAAAGCTCCCGGAGGTGCACCGGCTAACGTCGCCGTCGGCATTGCTCGCCTCGGCGGCAATTCGGCGTTCGTCGGAAAGGTAGTTTAGTCGCAGGAAGTTTTTTACTCATGATCATTTAAGTTCAAAAGACTCTATAGTCTATAGATCTTTTAAATCAGAAAATCGAAATCTTTAGATGCAATCTCATCCGTCCATTCATTCCTTTGCGTCACCGATCAGGTCGGCGACGATGAATTTGGGTACATGCTCGCCGATATTTTGAAATCGAACAATGTAAACAATCAAGGAATGAGGTTCGATCCCGGCGCTCGAACCGCTCTAGCATTTGTAACTCTCCGAAACGACGGAGAGCGCGAGTTTATGTTTTACCGCAATCCGAGCGCCGACATGTTGCTTCGAGTCGACGAACTCGATTTAGACTTAATTAAGAAGGTAGATCAACAATTTATGTCGCCTATCGAAATTAATACCTCGTGCTGTTGTCTTAATCCGATTTTCTTTTCTCGATGTTGTCCAGGCGACGATTTTCCACTACGGCTCGATAAGCTTGATCACAGAGCCTTGTAAATCGGCTCACATAGCTGCGGCAAAGGCTGCCAAGGATGCCGGTGTGATTTTATCGTACGATCCGAACTTGAGGCTTCCGTTATGGCAGTCTGGAGAAAGCGCCCGGGAAGGTATTCTAAGCATTTGGGACACCGCCGACATAATTAAGGTATTCTGAATTCGGTTCAATCCTATTTAAACAGAGTATTCGTGTTCGGCGTGTTTATTTTGGATGTAATGGAAACCTCAGATCAGCGAAGAGGAGATATCATTTTTGACGAAAGGAGAAGACCCGTATGACGATAATGTGGTTCGAAAATTGTTCCACGATAATCTTAAATTGCTGCTCGTCACCGAAGGCCCCGAAGGGTGCCGGTATTATACCAAAGTATGTTGCGATTAAACCATTACACGAAGCGCGCGGATTCTTGGAATTTTGACATAATTATTGTCGAATCATCGTTTGTAGGAGTTTAGTGGACGAGTGGACGGTCTGAAGGTTGAAGCCGTGGACACCACAGGCGCCGGAGATGCTTTTGTGGCGGGTATTTTAGCGCAGCTTTCGTCGGATTTGTCGCTTCTAAAGGTGAATAAATTGTAGCTGTAATTTTAAATCTGCGCCTGATCTAAACTTTTGCTTCTATTGGTTAAATGATCGTCTCATCTAAAAGCTTTTTAAGTAATAGAGATATGCATCATTAATACATATTATATAGTCTACCAATACTATTTACGATTCGATTTTCTAACATCCATTGTTGTTCCTTCTAATTTTTGTGCTAAAAACCGAGATGGACTTTCTTTTATTTCGCAGGATGAGGGCAAGTTAAGAAATGCCTTGAGATTTTCCAATGCTTGCGGAGCCTTGACTGTGACGGAACGGGGCGCTATTCCGGCTTTGCCTACCCGGGACGCCGTTATGAATGCTTTGCTCAAGTCGTCCGTGGCATAGGTTCGTTTTCTTTCATGATCGTATATAACTAACCGAGTATGATCTGGCGATTTTCATCGACAACTTGTCTGGTTCCATCAAGTTGGATCTCCGGTTTTTCTATTTTACCTTTTTTTTTTGTCGAATTATCCGGTAAACAGTATAGTATAGTATAGTATTTAGATCACTTGCCGTGTAATCATTGAAAGATTTTTAGTAGAATTGAGTTGAGTATGGGTAGCATAATAGGTTCGAATTGAAATAAAACTCAAACCCGACCCATCGACATTCCTAATACGAACATATTAAGGTTACACAGCATATATTGTATTTATGTTAAAAGTAACATTGTTTGTTAGATTTTGTCAAATCAGTAGCTGATTTAATAGAAGGATCGGAATATACCACCATGATATTATTTGTTTTTAGGAAGGGACACTCTCATTTTATTCAATAATTATTATTATTTTTTTATAAAATATTATATTTAATACAAAAAACATTTGAAATTTTAGAAAATCTTTACTAACAGTATATTTTAAAATATACAGTTCCCCATTAATAAAATATCTTCAAAACATTTATATAAATACTAAATAGACTAGACAATCTCATTTTTTAGAACATTTTTCATTGTCTAATTAAATAAATAAATAAAATCAAGTTCCATCCTGTGGTCAAAATCTCCTAATCAAGGCAGGGCACACTCACCACATTTGTCCCGTGTCTTAAGGCCGACCGTACGCTCCGACCAGACCACCTCTCAACATAAGCCTCCCAATGTCCTAACCACATTTTTGCAAAGGCAAAACTAAAACTTCAAACCGACCATGGCTGAAGATGATCCCGACATGCCCGACTGGGAGCGAGTTTTCAAACGTTTCGATGCCAACGGCGACGGCAATATTTCCGCAAAAGAGCTCGGCGACGCCCTCCAGGAGCTTGGCAGTGTCGATCCCGACGAAATCAAGTGCATGATGGCAGAGCTCGACACCGATGGAGACGGCTTCATTTCGTTCACCGAATTTGTCGAATTCGCCAAAAACAATCGGGGATTGGTTAAGGACGTTGCCAAAATATTTTAACTCTGTATTTCTTGATTTTTTTTTGTTTTTTTTTTTTATATAAATAACGATATACTGTAGTCTTATTGAATTTTACGAGTACATGAATTTATACATTTATATATTCCCTTTACGTACAAATTAGTTTTATTTTATTTTATTTTGGAGTTCAATTATAATTTATATGATGTGTTTGTATAATATCTCGATTGGTTAGATTTTTAGAACTATTGTATTTGAAACTTACCGCTATAAGTTTAAAATTTTGTGAGTAGAACTATCTTTTAGATATATTTAATATTATTAAGTATTCCCTCCGTCCCAAATAAGGTGCAACATTTGTTTTTGGTACAGATTTTTAGATGGGTAGTATTAAGTAGGATAATTTAGAAATTAGGTGATGTAACGGAGAGAGAAATATATATTTTATTATTTTATTTGGATGATGTGAGGGGATAAAGTATGAGAGATTAGATATAATTAATTATTTCCTATTTTGGAAATATTGTAGGGTGCTTGAGACATATCAAAAAAAAATATTGAAGAGTGTTTGGGACGGAGGAAGTATTATCCTACAAAATATAATTATATAAATATATTTCATCTAGCCTATATTATTACCAATGGCTTTATATTTATAATAAATGAAAATTTTGTCTTCATTTTATTATGTAAAATTTTATTGTTTATAAAACTATATATATTGATTATGTTTGTATTTATATATTTTTAAAATTAAATTAAATTTTCTTTATTAAGTATTAAATTAATATTTTATCTATATATCATCAATTACATTATAAATATACTCAATATCATTTTCATTTTAAAAATATTTTTATTTAAAATATAATTTATATCACCATCAAATATATATATATTTAAATTTTACAAATCTCTCCCGAAAGTCTCGAAACAAAGGCCAACGATTTTCTCAGCCACTTCTGCTTCATCTCTATCCTCTTTCATCACTTCTTCAATCCGGGCCCTGGGAACCCTAACCTTAACCATCACAGAACCCGAACCCGTACCCGTATCCGGATCCTGCCGCTCCCGGGGCGGGTGAGGAAATCTGGGCATTTCAACTAGGAAGTAGTGGCCTCCGGGCTTGAGCTGGGCCCACGGCGGCAATTTGGGGGCCCGGAGCCCGAACTTCTTGACGGCTTGATATTCGAGGAGGACGTGGCGGTCGGAATAATCCTTGAGCACTTCCATGGCGGTCGCCGGCGGCTTCAGCTTGAAGGTCTCTCCGCCGTCGATTTTCATGATCTTGCTGGATGATGATCCTCCGCCGCCGATGCCGTTTCCCATTATCTTCTTCTTCTTCTTAATAATAATAATAATAATACTAATAATAATTATATTTTATTTTTTATATTTTTAACGGTAGGAATTAACTACAAGAAAGAATTAAAGTAGGAGGGCGACGAGTGAATGAATATTTGCCGTACTCGGATATATGATATTAAGACTTTCGTTTTGTTTGGTTTTGTTCTAGAATTGACACTTTAATTTAAATAATATATTATAAATATAATTTATTTAAATTTATTTTATAAAATATTAGGATGAATAGGCTTTACACAGTACATTTTCAAAAAATATTACATTATATTTTTTTTTCAGTAAATATCAAATCAAATACTAATATTTTATTTTATTTTATTTTTTCAAATTTTTAAAATTTTAAAAATTTTCATAATTTGACAAAAAAAATTCCTATTTTAAAATTAGTGTAATGACATTTTTGCCCTTATTTTTTTTTATGTAAAAATAATAATGTGATATAAAATAAAAATATTTGTGAAAAAAATAGGGCATTTAATGAAATATATATTATATTCGCACATTATATAACAACATATTTTATTTATTTTTTTATGGAGTGGAGTATCTAGAAAGTGGGCGCATGGGTTGTGGCCACTGACCTGTGACCACCAATGGGATTTGTTTATAGAGTAAAATAACTTTATGTTAATTATTTGAAAAAAAAAAAAAAAATCAAACTTGATTTCAATATAAAAATAAATTATAAATTTTGATTTCAATATAAAAAAAAAAAAATTCATTAGTTTTAATTTTATTATAAATAATTTTAATTAATTTTGATCTCACTATTAAAAATTAATAAAAATTGTTCACGTGAATTTGATGAAGTTACTATATATATATATATAGCAGGTGAACTGAAATGTCGCGAACATGATCATATATTTTGATTAATATGCACAATTTAAACAACAGACTAGACAAATAAGTTGTATTGGAAATGTACATCTACTATTTCACCAAATTATCATTAAATTCAAAAAGTTCAGACACAAAATAAACACATAAGGATGTCTTATGATATATATATATATTAATTTATTACACAACAATCATAATTCTTTATAAAAATATATTATTATAATTTTTTTATTTTTATTTTTTATTTTTAGAATAGATTAAAAATAATAATATTTTATTGATAATAAAAATATATATGATAATTTTGATATTTTTACTGTAGAAATACAACAAAAATAAATATTTTTGCAAAGATGAGTATTTTGATATTTAAATACGAACCCTATCACTGTTAATGTAATTCAAAATAAATATTCTTGAAAAAAAAATACAAAAATAATTCATTAAATTACAAAATAATTAAGCATAATACTCCCTCCGTCCATCCGACCTATCCATTTTGTCATTTTAGTCTGTCCATCTAAAATGTATCTATTTTTTTTTAGTAAATGTATCTTTCACTAAAATATAAAATTACTCAACCCTTTATGTAATATTACACAAATGTCATCAAATAACACCAATTAATATCATAAATTTTAAGGAATATAATAGTCTTTATATATATCAATCGTGCCACATATCAATGTAATACTAATATACTAAAATCGACGTGCAAAAAATAAACGGATAGATAAACGATGAACGAAGAGAATAATATAATTTAAAAATACATTATTATTGTTTTATGACGTAGGACCCGCAAAGGTGTGCACTGGTAAAGTGCTATACATTATTTTATTTTATACAGCAGTAACAACAACTACACATTACATATAAATAACCCTCGACTTTCCGGTTGACCTCCGCCGTCACTCCCCTAGCTCCTTCGCCGGCGTCGGAAAGCACGGCGGCGGAACGGCAACAGCGAGATCAAACAACATTCGGTTGAAGCGAAGACGACGAGGCCTGATCGCTGCCGTCGTCATCAGTAGTCGAGCAGCATTCCGACGAGGCAGGAGTGTCGGCTACGTCCTCGTCGTCGGACGGCGCAACTGCGTTAAAAGTGCAAGGCTGCATTTCTCCGGCGGCGACGGAAGATGATGACGGCGGCGCCGGCGGCAGGGTTTGGTGGACGGTGTGGTTGTTGGGGTCGATGCCCATGGTTGTGAGTTTCTTCTTGATGTGAGAGTTCCAGTAGTTTTTTATCTCGTTGGCGGTCCGACCGGGCAGTCGACCGGCAATCAAGGACCACCTGACGGTCAGTCAAGGCACGTGACATGCATGCGTTAGATTGGATGGGATGTTAACCATTTATTCACGTGTAATAAATTAAATGCCACTGCGCGACATTTTCACTCTTGCTTTGGACATTGTTTACTACTGTCTTATTACTTTGAGTTAGTTTTATTTATTTATTTTTTGAAACTATATAAATTTTTTCTTAAAAATTACATTAAAAAAAATATTTTTTTGTCTAAAATATTACATTCAATAAAAAAAAAACATCCACACAGACATACACCGGTAGGGCGTGCTTGATTGATATATATATTTTTTTTATAAAAAGAAAATTAATAGTAATTTGAATATAATAATTTATTAGATAAATAATATATATATATAATAGTAAAAATTTTAAAAAATTACTGAAAATAACAAACCCTTAAACCCTATAGACTTATGAAATTTTGAAAATTTAAACATTTTGTGAAATAGTAAAAATTAAATATTGAATTTGATATTTGTTTAAAAAAAAAATAATAAATTGGTATTTGATATGATTTTTTTTTTAAAAAAAAAAAATTATTGAAATAAATGATACTAAAATTTTCAAAAATGTTCATGTATTGATATTTTTAATAAGAATAAATAAATATATTAGATATTGGCTGTGTTTGCTTGTAAGTTGAACTAAAATTTGATAGTACGCTCCCAAACCATTTTTTTTTTTTTTTTTATGTGAACTAATTCTCCAAAATATCTAAAAGTAAATTTCACTTATAATTTTCTATTCATATCTTAAAGTGAGTTAATAAAACAAAAATAAATAAATAAATAAATAAATTGATAAATTGAATGTATAAATAGTTGTTATATTTTTATAAATAAAAATAATATTGTAAGATATAAGTTAAAAAGTATGGAAGAATTATTTGATATAAATATAAATTAAATATTTTTTATTAAGAAACAAAATGTACTATAAATGTGATGGACAAGAGAGTATATAATATGAATATCAAATTTGAGACAATAAAATTTCATATAATACAAATAGAAAAAGTATGGTATTTATTTATTTATACTTAATATAAACTAATTTTATAAAAAATAAAATTTTTTAAATATTGATAAAAATATTTGTTTATTCAATAAAAAATTAGAAATAAAAAATATTTGAGAGAATCTTATATGATATAATAAGTTATAAAATTAATTAATTTTATTTATATTCATTAAATATAATTTACTAAGAATATAAATGTATCAACTTTTATAAAATAAATTTTTTAAAAAAATATCAATTAGGATATAATTGATGAAGTATTTTCTACAAAATAGTAGTACAATACCGTGAAAGTTAGTTAATCCAATTTTAGGGTTTTGTTAGTTGTGTTTGTCGTGGGGTTTGAATTTTAAACCGAAATACCTATTTGATGCAAGTCTTATATTTAAAATTAATTTTTAATATGCTAAAATAAATAAATATATTTTTTGTCCGACTGAAAGTATTTTTTTATCTTCAATTGTCTCATTCAGAAGTATAATTTTTCTATTATAATAAAAATAATTATACAATAATACTAAACTATCCTTAATGTTTACATAAATTACAAATATATCATTAGTTTTTACCTAAACTATAAATAGCAAAAATATCAAAAGTATTTTATATACTTCTGCTAATTAATAAATTAAAATACTTATATTTTAGAAATAAATTGAGAAATTATATAATACTAAAATAAAATAATTTTTCAAAGAGAATAAACCGGAAATATATGTCTATGGATTGTTATTCTGTAAGATTTTTAGAAATTAATTTTTAAATTTCAGTATGAGTAATTATTATTATTATTATTATTGCTACGTAGCTATGAAGTAATATTTTCATTAAGATATAATAGTGTTTTCGTACTTGATAGTTTCTGTTTTATGTAGATACATTCATATTCATTATATTTCGAAATTTTTTGCTGATATTAATTATCTTATTAGTGAAATACATGATTAAATTCCAGTCCTTAAAAATCAAGTACTTAGCAAAATTATTAATACTATAAATTTACTAACAAGAAGAAGAAAAAAAATAAAAATAAAATCATTATATATATATATATATAATTGCGGGGCAGAATGGCATACCGATTGCCGAGTAGCGCGTGTAGCTTGATAATAAGGTCCTCTTCGTCTTCGCCAAAGTTGTCGCACTTTATGTCGGGTCTCAAGTAGTTCATCCACCTCACTCGACAACTCTTCCCGCATCGCTGCAACCCTAATTTTAAATATATATACATATATATATATATATTTACACACACGTGTTGTATTAATTTTTATTTTTTTAAAAAAGAATTATTATTATTTTTTAATTTAAATTTAAATATAGAAGCCCCATTTTTACATAATTAACCTCTTTCAACAAATATTGAAATACTTAATTGTCGTAATTAAATCATTTTTACCAGCAGCGATGGGTAGAGTTGTCCAGTTGCAGGCTGCTTCACCATGAAGTTTGATATAGTCGAGCAGTTTCTCATCTTCCTCTTTCGACCAATTTTCAGCATTAGCATTTGATGATGATGATGACGATGATGATCCTCCTTTTGTGCTGCTGCTGCTTTTCTCTAATTTCTCTTTGTCTCTCTCTTTCTTGTTGCATCTCTTCATCGAATTGAATTGAATTATTAGATCTGTGACCTATCTATCTATCTATCTGCAAAAATTAATTAATTTATCAAGGATCGGAGAAGTAGCTTTTAGATATCAATGTGTTGTATATATATGCAACTGCAATTTTTTAATTTCTCCCCACGCCTGCAGATATATCTGTGCAGGGCAAAGATATATATATATATATAAGTAGAGAGAGAGAGAGAGAGAGAGAGAGAGAGAGAGAGAGAGAGAGAGAGAGAGAGAGAGAGATGGGAACTAACAAACAAACTAGCTAACTTAAGGTCTGGAGAATTAATGGCGGCGGGTGGGAGCTAGGGGGAGAAGGAAGCTAGCTAGCTGAGGAATGTAAGTTCGTAAGTAAGATATATGATTGACTTAGAATGGTGGTTCAGCTGTAATTCCTCCCTCTCCCACTCAACTCACTTCCTACCTTTCGATCTAATTAATTAATTAATTAATTGTTTTTTCACTTTTTTTTTTTTTTAATTGCTCTCACAATTCCATAATAATATATTTTTGCTGTTTTTTTGTTATTGTGTGATATTTTGGAGTGATGTAATTTTAATATTTCTTTATTTTAGAATAATATATAATAAAAATTCAAAAAATATATACAAAATTTAAAATAATTATTAAATTTTAACTTACGATTTTGGTCAATCACAACATCCACCTACTGATATATATTTTAAAAAAATTAAGGTTTCTTTTTTTTTTTTAGGTGAGTTTACTTATGTTTAGTTTTTTATTTTGTGATTTATATTGTTAGATGAAATAATTGTTAATTATAATATTTTGGATAAAATATACTCCTTTCGATTGGCAATTTTAACACATTTAGGTTTAGGGTTGCCACGGAGTTTAAAAAATATGAACCATTCAATAAAGAATATAAAATAGTTGGGATATTGATAAAACATAATTGATGTTTAACAATGATAGTAATATTAATTGTAAATAAATATTGAATTGAGAGTAATAGTTACAAATTGATAATTTGATTTTGGCAAAATTAATGATAGAATAAATTTAATGCAAAGATAAAACAAAAAAACAAAAATAAATTTGACTAACCAAAGAAGAAAGTAATATATTATTATAAGAAATTGGAAACAAAAGATCAAAATAGAAGCATGGTTTGCAAAATCGCTGAGTTGGATCTAAAAAAGTATTTTATGTTTCGATTCTATTACAAAACATATGAGATACGGAGAAAGAAAAGGAGAAGAAGAATATACATACAAAGGATTTAGGGTTTAGAAGATGGTGAATTGGGAAAAAGAAAAAAAGAAGATGGAAACGACGGGTGGAGTTAGGCATAGTTAGCAAGATCGGCTGAGTCTATTCTGCTTAGCCAAGTTGGATCCGGAACGGGGCTTTGCGCTCCGATCCAATTAGAAAATATATTAGATAAAATGAAAAGAAGAAGAAGATGCGAAGAACAAATTAGGGGTTGGAAAAGATTGAATGAGAAGAAGAAATCATGAACTTTCTCTAAGGGTTTAATTAGGCATGGCCGAGTTCATTCCAACCCGGCCAAGTTGGATCCAGGATGGGGCTTGCCATTCCAATTCCGTTACAACATATACAAGATAAATGGAGAAAAAGAGAAAGAAGATGTGGATAATAGGTTTAGGGTTTAGAAGAAGGAGACGAGGGAAATGGTGGGTTAAAGTGGTTCGAAAAATAGGACAAGTCCGTTTCGATTCGTCTGAGTTGGATCTGAAACGTGCTTCCCATTCTGACCCGCTACAAAATATATGAGATAAACGGAGCAAGAGAAGAAGAATATAGATTTAGAGTTTAGAAGAGGATAAAGGGGAAGAAGAAAATGTGAACGACGTGTTAAGAATTTAGGCCAAATTTATAAGTCTATCTCCACACCATTGAGTCATTCTATACGAAACATTGCTTCTTCATATTTTAGTGCTATATATATATATTTGGTCCTTTATTTGTTTTTTAAGATTGACCTTGAGAAAACCGACATTTTGTTTTTCTCATGCAACAACTTTCATTAGATCGTGTCATTTATATTCTACTTCCTCGTTCCCTTTCCATTCCAATTATGAAAACATTTAATTCATTTATTTTCCAATTAAAAAAAATATATATATACTTTTATTTTAGAAAATGTAGATTATGATTGTGAATATCTTAAAAGTACTATACCTTGTATACACCCACTTGCTTCAAAAAATACAGAGTGACCGTGAGGTCATTGATTCAAATACCCGACGCTTCAAGTCACCTACTATACATGGTTCGCTTAGTGTGATTTTTCCGTCGAGCTTGATTTGCAGGGTATTAGGTTCGGCCGGGAGTTTATCCGGTGCGCACTTTCGGGTAGCGGCTGCGGGTTCTCACGTCATAAAAAAAATTACAGAGTGATGTCGAATAATAAATCGTATGCTTTAATTTTTATAATGTATTTTGTTTACACAATGAACTTTTACTTTGACACTATTTATTTTTTAAAAATATTATATTAAATATATTTTTTTTCTCAAAAAATATAAAATAAAATACTAATTTTTTATTTTTTTCAAATTTTCAAAAACCTTTAACAAAAAACTCCTGTCTAAACAGTAATATACATATTGTACAGGAATTATGTGTTTTTTTTGGATGAATTTGAAAATAATTCATTTGAATTTGCTATTAAAACACTTCATATTTAACAAGAGTTTTGTGTGGAAAAAAAATATATATAATTTTTTGAAAAAAAGTAAAATTAAAAAAAAAAATTAACAAAAGAAACACTATTGCGTGTAGTTTCTAATATTAAGAGCGTGTTTGTTTGGGAAATTGAATTTTAAATATACTATTCATTCTAATTTTTTTCCCCAAAAATATTAAATCAAACACATATTTTTTATATTATACTAAAAATCAATTTTACATTCAAAACATCATATCAACACCTATTTATATCACACATCATGTAACTATTCAAATCCAAAATTTTTACTATTCAAATCCCAACTCAAAATCCAAACACCAAAACAAACAGAATGTTCAAAAATTAAATTTTAATTTAATATTTTAAATAAAAATTAATTAATAATATTTTTGACAAAAATGATTATTGATTGTTAGTTGAATAATTTCAAAATTTTAAACCTCAAAAAAAAAAAAAAAAAAAAAACACTACCGGATCGTTAGTATTGCATGTGCTGTTATGTCTCCTACAATTTTTGATTCATAAAAACGACACGAAGTACATAAACATTGGTTCGACTGCACTTTTCAAAATGACTATTTATATTTTTGTTTACGTATGCAATAAAGATCGACACAAATATAAATAAATGGTGGGGCTGTAGAGTTTGCTGTGTTATTGCCTCACCGAGAGCTGCATTCTCCAACCACCACGTGCCTATATTATATATTTCCCTTAACACATTTCCTGAGTGAAAACAAACACAAACTATGCTGCTCCAATCCAAAAAAAGTCTTTCTTTTATCATATTCATTACCAAAATCTGGTCATTCAATTCTTGAATTCAGATCGCAACTCATTTACCCATTTAAGTTCCCGAATTCGATCGATTTTGTCTAATCGAATTGTTTCCGACGGTTGCGATCGCATCACACCTTGCTTAGTCGTCTGCCTCGCAAGCCATTCCAGAAAGCTGCTGCATCAACGACTTTTTTGCCCGGCAGCTGCACCTCCAGCACCTGTAGTGTTTTCATGTCGTCGACATTAGAGCGCAGTTTTGAAATAATTGGAAGAATTCGAAGAGAAATTGGTATTCTAGTTACGGATTTACCTCCAGATATGTACCCGAACCGCAGGGGAATATTAATGATCCTTTTGAGAGGAAAGCGCCGTCTGTTTCGCTAATATGAGGATCGGGATCGTTGTTCACTTTGGTAGTGATGATTTTGAGCTCTATTGTCTTCTGCATACTGCTTTCTGGATCAACTGCTGCAACTTTCACTCGGGTTCCCGGCCAGCCTGCAAATGCACGAACCTGAAAGGTTGTGTGTAATATATGTTTATCTCGTATCGAATTGGAATTCAAGTGTTACCTTGTTGTGAATGACTGCAGCAGTTTCTTCGAACGAAAGCCAAGACTCTTCGGGACTTATCTGCGTCGACAATAATTTGCAGTATCAGCATATGGATAGTGACAACATCAAGATAAAAATGAAGGCGCTGCTTACTTTTGGAGCGAATGTAGCTTTTGATTCGTCTTGTTCAATCGCTTTCACTTTAGCCGAACCATCAAATATCGATGGAAGCTCCCGGATCAGAAGTTCAGATCCTATATTTATGAGAAACGGAAATTCCAATTAGAAACAATGTCTAAGGACGGGCGAAAGCTCCATAAAATGTTATCAAGAAAATACTGTGGCGATAGAACTTTTGTGCAGAATAGTAAAAAACGGTGGGAAGAGGAAGACGTGCCTTCAGCAAACAGAAACTCGAGCAACTTTGGTGCCTGCACAATATCACTCAGTGCTTAGTCGAAGAACATATTCAGAGTGCAGAAATATAAGTTGAACGGACCTTTATTTCGTCGTCGATTTCAACTTTCTTACGAGCAATAACAGGGCCAGCATCCAGCTGGCGCACCGTGTAGGCCAATGAGACTCCTGTTTCTTTCACGCCATCCTGATAAAAGTTTTCTGCGTCGTTAAATAGAACAACGAGACATACTAAATCACCATCCAAATCGAAGAAACCATTAGCTATGAAGAATGTCAACCTGAACAGCCCTCTGAACAGGTGCAGCGCCACGGTAGAGAGGAAGCAAGCTCGGGTGTATGTTTACTGTGCCTATGAGAATACAATCACAATATCACGACAATAGACCTGAGCATGACTGCAAAGCTTCAAAATTTTACATATACTTTAAACTAACCCAAAGATGGTATCTTGAGGAATTTTGTGGGCAGGATATTCCCATATGCAGCCGTGATGCATAGTTCTGGCTCCAGCGCCTTAAAACTCGAGATAAAAGACTCCTATACAGTAGTGCTGCAAAATGTAACTTTGTATTTTCGGAGAAGACTAGCACAATAAGGATTTTGTTTTGTTTTAATCTTCCTTCTATCAGCAAATTTATTCCATCAAGAATGGATAAATATCTTTCAAAGAAAATATGTCAGCCTTCCAATTTGGAGCTCCTTATGAGTTATAACACCCGAAAAAGCCTTTTGATGTTCAATGAACCGACTGTTGGAACCTTATACACCAAAGAATCGAGTCGATCTCCACCATCCATGAGTAAAGTAGTTACAAGTTACAACATCTATCTTGGAAATTTGTTAATTCATCATCCACTAGGAAATCATGAAGTCCCTTTTTCCTCTACTAACTATATCAAACATTCGATCCTAATTTCTGATAAAAAAGGAGAAAACTAGAAAGACATGGTAATAGCACACTCGGCAGTCGACGATATATTTAAGTCTAGAGCAGAGAATATCACAAGGATTAAAAAACAGGACATGAACAAGAAAGGATGAAATAATTTACCTCGCCTGCTTTCTCCGGCGTAAAGATCAAATCGGACGGGAAGCCTCTGTCAAGCGCATGCTGAGAAACAGGGGAGGGCATTACCTTTCTTCCTCTATCCCTTCCCGAAGGAGGTTGGGTGACAATGGCAGCAATCTGCCTCACATCAGCATTGCAATAAACAACATAGAATCAGAATCATCATATAAACTAGCCATGGAAACAGTATCCCTTACGTTTGCTGCTATTCTTATACTTAACTCAGGAAACTACTGCTGTCCGCCATTAAAATTCTTTTAGTTCAACAGAGTATTATTGGCACAACAACGTTCGAAGATTTGAGTGTTCTTCTTGTCAGGAATCATAACAATTACAAATTGAAAACTTCGCGAACAGATCATACCAAAGGAAAAATTAGCTAACAGGAAATGCCTAACGGCTAATTAAACATGGAATTTCACTTCTTCCCTACCTCAAATGATGAATCTGGGACAGAAGCGGCGTTGAAAAGAGCATCGAGAACTGAAGCAGAGACCTGCAATTGCTCACCGTTCAGCGGATGAAAACCGTGCATTGTGTAAAATTCGATAGGTTACCTGAGGCGACCCCAAAAAACAGAGACGCTTCTTACGGGAAGTGGCGGTGGAGGGAAAAGAAGCGACGGCGCTAAGGCAGCAGTAGCGGCGGATCATCAGAGAAGACGATAGCATCGCCGCTTTCGAGTCTGCCTCACCCAATTTCCGCAGAAACATCAAAATCTTAACTCCGATTAGGTAAAAATCTTCAATTAGAAAGAACCATGAGTTGCAAACAAAAACGTCGATATGTCCGAGTGGTTAAGGAGACAGACTCGAAATCTGTTGGGCTCTGCCTGCGCAGGTTCGAATCCTGCTGTCGACGCATAACTTCTTTTAGCATTGTGCTTTTAATCTCATTTTTCTTGACCAATTCTTTTACATATAGAGTTTGCTATCAGGTTTAATTTGGTGGCTATTAGGTTCTAGTAACTTAACTAGCTAATCAATCCTCACCTCCAAAAGGAAATGCATCCCATGATCACTCCCCCTTGACCACATTCATTAATTGATCCGAAATTCCCTTACCATGGCTAGAGATTTGTGCCGCCGCGGACCTCCCCCGTCCATTTAGGTGCACACTCCATAATTGCAGACAGTTTCAGCGACTCTTCTCCTTTTCTAGAAGGAAAAAATGTCTGGGCATGTCCAATGTAAGTATAATCCACTTGTGGAGAGAAATATTCGTGCAGGATGATTGATGCTGGTCTGAAAAGTGCTGGTAGACGGACTTGTCCGGGGCTATGAAGTTATTACAGTTAGGAAAAGGGCATGGATACGGTGCAAAGGTGCATGTTGTCTCATGAGAATGTTTCTTGCTGTAGATTGGTGTCTCCCGGCAGCCATATTCTTTATGCGTGCACGCCATTTTTACTGATTCCATGGCTAGATTGCGCTTGTTTCTTCCAATTGTCGCGCGACAAGATCGACATTTGTTTGTTTTATCGGAGCAAGATGTACATGCTATGTGCCCGTTCATACACTGTAATAAAGAAGAGGTAAACAGCGTAATACATCCTTATGTTTTAGTATTAAAGTCGCATGTAACATTATTTTTCTATAAATCAAAGCAAAAAGTCAAAGAAAAATAATACTATTTGCCTACAATACTACTTCTTTAGTCTCTTAAGAATCAATTCATTTTTCTATTTTGGGTTATTCCACAACAAAGTATTAATTTACTTTTTTTTAATAATTGTACTATCTACCTAATATTACAAATACCCTCCTAATTTACAATATATTATATAAATGTCATTAACTTTATATCATACATACTAATGTTAATAAAATTAATTTAGTTTTTTTACCTTTATTTTTACAACATCCTAATAAATACTAATATTTTTAAAACTTTGTGAAAAAAACAAACGAATAGATAAATATAGAACGCAAAGAGTATTTTGCACGTAGTTATTGTTCTTTTGTAATGAAAACAATACTATTCACTCAAAATAAAAATAAAAATATATTATTTTCTGTTGCAAAACATTACTTTATAAAATCGGTGTGTAAATACAACTGTAGTCTATATAAAATAGTTTTCCCATCGAGATGGGCTTTTGTATTAAATAAGAATAAATATTACTCCGTACTATAATATTTCTAATATCTACAGTTTCATTCTCCATAAATTTATTGAAAATTTGAATTGAAGTTCTAGTATAGTTAACTTTCTATTAACCAATAACAATCACATTCTATTGCATGAAAATATATGTTCCAAAATTTATAGTATAGTCTTCTATTAATAAAAAGAAATAAAATAGACAATGGTAATAGTTTATTTCTCCAATCATATCTAATATATATATATATATACATATATATATATGAGTTAAAAAGAAAAGAATGATGAAAAAGACAATGAATTAAGAACCTGAAAAATGGGAGGGGAGAGTGGATTGGAGCAAATAGGGCAGTGAAGAACAGCTTCATGGTCTGTGATTGACAGGCTCCTGCTGGCAATCTACGTAATATCTGTAAATTATTCTTCCTCCGTTTCAAAAGGACAGTTTTATTATATTGGATACGAGATTTAAAGAATATTGAAATTATATTGGTAGTTGATAAAAAGTAAGGATAAATGATTTTTTTGCTTGTAAAAAACAGTGACAATTGTATAATAATAATAAAAAAGTAGGGATAGTTTTATAGTGATATGATTATTTATGAAAATAAGACTATTATTTTGAGACGAACAAAAATAATAAACAAGACTATTATATTGGGACGGAGGAAGTATTATATAGGGTTTGTTTACCTGGGATTTGTTCACACACAAACAGAAAAAAAAATTAAAAAAATTAAAAATTATACTACTCCCTCGTCCCAATGTTGCATAACAAAAGATATTATTTTCTATTTTTGTTCGTTTTAAAACAAGGATATTATTTTTATATAATTGTATTATTTATCTAATATAATTAATATTCTTACAATTTTAATATATTACACAAATATTATTATTTTTATATCATACAATTTAATAGGAATATTTTTGTCTCTTTTACTGTAAACCAATATAATACTAATATTAAAAAATTTATGTGCAAAAAGTAAACGTCACTCTTCCTCCCAAACATAGGTAGTATTTTGTTTCGATTATCATGTCCGCTTTAGTTTAGATATAGAAATTTAGAAGTTGTATAATTAGTAAATAATTAAAAATTATTAGTAAAAATAATTATTATATAATAAAAATATTTTAGATTGAAATTAAGATAACTAATTATTTTAATTAAAATTAAAAAAAATTAAAATTAAAATTTTTAAAATAAGATTAATATAAATTTTTTTCAAAAAAGAAAAATGACACAATAAATTGAACATACGAAAATAAAAAAATAAATACAAAAAGTGAGACGAAAAGAGTACTCCATATGTCCGACTAAAATGTTATCATTTTTCATTTCCGTCCGTCCTAAAACAAAGTTATCAATTCTTTAATTTAGTAATTGTACTACCTACGTAATGTAATAAATATCATTCTAACTTACACTACATTACACAAATGTTATGGGACGTCGACGGAGTCGCGTTATCGCGAGAAGTCCAACAAGCGTTATCTTTTAGAAAAAAAAAAAAAGAACTCGTAACAAGGATTCCATAGGTGAACCTGCGAAAGGATCATTCTCGACGTCTGCCCCGGCAGGCAGCAGCGACCTCGTGAACCGACGTACGAATGCCGCACAGCCGTCCATCGAGACAGAGTGAGCGTGCCAAAAAACTCCTGCACGGATTTTCGTTAATATGTAGGAGTAAAAAATGGATTTCCTGCGATGCACGTCGTGGCCAAAAATCGCGAACGACGACCTTGTTCGCCGTTCACGGACCCGTCGTCCAGCCGTATATTGCGAACGAGGATTCGGGCAGGAACGCCGACGGACCCGCGTCATCGCGAGAAGTCCAACAAGCGTTATCTTTTAGAAAAAAAAAAGAGAACTTGTAACAAGGATTCCATAGGTGAACCTGCGAAAGGATCATTGTCGACGTCTGTCCCGGCAGGCAGCAGCGAACTTGTGACCCGACGAACGAATGCCGCACAGCCGTCCATCGAGAAGAAGTGGGCGTCCCAAAAAACTCTTGCACGGATTTTCGTGAATATGTAGGCATAAAAAATGGATTTCCTGTGATGCACAATGGAGCCAAAAATCGAGAACGACGACCTTGTCCGCCGTTCATGGACCCGTCGTCCAGCCGTATACTGCAAACGAGGATTCGGGCAAGGACGCCGACTGAGCCGCGTCATCGCGAGAATTCCGACAAGCGTTATCGTTTAGAAAAAAAAAGAGAACTCGTAACAAGAATTCCATAGGTGAACCTGCGAAAGGATCATTGTCGACGTCTGCCCCAGCAGGCAGCAGCGAACTTGTGACCCGACGTACGATTGCCGCACAGCCGTCCATCGAGACAGAGTGGGCGTCCCAAAAAACTCTTACACGGATTTTCGTGAATATGTAGGCATCAAAAATAGATTTTCTGTGATGCACAACGGAGCCAAAAATTGAGAACGACGACCTTGTCCGCCCTTCACGGACCCGTCGTCCAGCCGTATACTGCGAACGAGGATTCGCACAGGGACGCCGACGGAGCCGCGTCATCGCGAGAAGTCCAACAAGCGTTATCTTTTAGAAAAAAAAAGAGAACTCGTAACAAGGATTCCATAGCTAAACCTTTGAAAGGATCATTCTCGACGTCTGCCCCGGCAGGCAGCAGCGACCTCGTGAACCGACATACGAATGCCGCACAGCCGTCCATCGAGACAGAGTGGACATCCCAAAAAACTCCTGCACGGATTTTCTTTAATATATAGGCATAAAAAATAGATTTCCTGCGATGCACGTCGTGGCCAAAAATCGCGAACGACGACCTTGTCCGCCGTTCACGGACCCGTCGTCCAGCCGTATATTGCGAACGAGGATTCGCGCATCGCGAGAATTCCAAAGATCGTTATCGTTTAGAAAAAAAAGAGAACTCGTAACAAGAATTCCATAGGTGAACCTGCGAAAGGATCATTGTCGACGTCTGCCCCGGCAGGCAGCAGCGAACTCGTGACCCGACGTATGAATGCCGCACAGTCGTCCATCGAGACAGAGTGGGCGTCCTAAAAACTCCTGGACAGCTTTTCGTTAATATGTAGGCATCAAAAATGGATTTCCTGCGATGCACGTCGCGGCCAAAAATCGCGAACGACGACCTTGTCCGCCGTTCACGGACCCGTCGTCCAGCCGTATATTGCAAACGAGGATTCGCGCAGGAACGCCGACGGAGCCGCGTCATCGCGAGAATTCCAAAGAGTGTTATCGTTTAGGAAAAAAAAGGAACTCGTAAAAGGAATTCCATAGGTGAACCTGCGAAAGGATCATTGTCGTCGTCTGCCCCGGCAGGCAGCAGCGAACTCGTGACCCGACGTACGAATGCCGCACAGCCGTCCATCGAGATAGAGTGGGCATCCCAAAAAACTACTGCACGGATTTTTGTAAATATGTAAGCATCAAATATGGATTTCCTGTGATGCACAACGGGATAAAAAATCGAGAACGACGACCTTGTCCGCCGTTCACGGACCCTTCGTCCAGCCATATATTACGAACGAGGATACGCAAAGGGACGCAGACGGAGCCGCATCATCGCGATAAGTCCACTAAGTGT